AGAAGGCAGATGACATATTTGAAGGAAAATTTTATTAAGGGAAATAAAAAGGTTGCAGAGAAAGCAGGTGGATATATCAGATTGGAGGTGGATATTTTTAACAGAAACTTCTGCTTGGTTTATTAGGTGTCACCTTCTGTGTATCTTGAGAAAAATTAATAAATATTTGTGCCATGGTATACAGTTCATACATGAAGTGCTATGAGGTTGCAAAAAATGGTTTATTTAATTTATGTTGCAGTAATAAAGATGTGGGAAAATTACTTCAGGCAACTGTCACCCTTATTCCATTTGGTTTTCTATGAACCCAAATATCACAATTAGTATGACAGTATTGGACATTTATAATTTATAATTTTTAGGAAGTTGGGTCTCTATAAGTATGTTGTAAGATACAGATAGTGATATCCAATGGTTTGGGGATACAAAAAGGATTGTATAAGTACTGAAGACTTGTTATTATCCACAATAATTGTTTTAGGTTTTTGTATCTTTAAATATAGTTAAACTTTAAAAAATTAACTAATGCAAGCAGATGAAAATATCTTCAAAATCTTACAAAAGGGTATACTGTGAAAATCAAAGTTTTCTCTTTTTTAAAAACTCATTTCTAACCTCCAATGTTATTTCATTTAAAAAATGTATGTATTATTCCAGGATGTATTTATAAGCTCATGCATGTATATGAATTGTTTTCCTTACTTAAGTGGAGTTATTCTATGCATAGTGTTTTGCCTTATTCTCTTAAAATATATGAATTCCTAATAGGCTACAGTGTTTTACTGCTTTAATGTAATATAGTTGTTTAATTCAGTTAGGTGCTAAATAAATTTCCATTTTATTAGAGCAGGAAATGGAAGTTTAGAAAAGCTAATAAGTAAATATTGAACCTGAAGGTGTCTAGTTCTAGAACTCGTGTCTAGTTTGCCAGAATAAGGGGCTTTATAGAATGCAGTAGAGATGAGGAGCTGTAAGCACAAATACTTCTCTTACTCTGATGTGGCAAGATAAAGTGAGCTTGATGATGTAATTTTTACATGAAAGCAGTCAGCCCTGCATCAGTGACTTCTATGTAGAGAACTAAGCTTCCGTCACTGCACCACCACAGTAGTGGTTTGGATATGGTTAGCTCTAGAATTAGTTGATGGGTGAAAGTTGTAAATTGTGCTGTTTTCACATTGAAATGGCTCTTCAGGTTTACTCTCTGATAATCCAGAATAATAGGAATCAGGATGGTCTTGGTACTTACTAAAGAATTATGAAAAAAGCAGAATGTGGGCTTCTAGTGAGAAAAGCAGAACAGAGAACTGAGTTGAACACGTAGTATGTGCAAGATTCTGTTCAAAGTGTAAGGGATATACTGTGAAGAGTAAGCCCTGGTGCCTGCATTTTACAATTTGCAGGGGCTGTGTACTTATTTCAGGATAAATAAGAGGATAAGATACAGTGAGTAGAATTAAGAAGAAACTAGGAAAGCAAACAGTGATAATGAAGGCAAGGAAAGAAGAAGAAAAGAGAGATTTGGAGGGAAAAAGTTTGATGTCTCTTCTAGAATATACATTTCTTGAGCATAGATTTGTGTATTGTTTTATCCCTAGCATCTAGCTTAGTAAACACTTATTAAATGAGTGAATGAAGAATTAAGAAGAGAGGTGAATAGAAAATTAATTGGGAAGAGAACAAAGAGTAAGAAAAAGATGTAGGAGAGAGAAGTAAAAGATGAAACAGAGGAGAGTGTTGAAGAGAGAAAGACCTTTTTATCAAACTCAGCTTCTATGTAACATGGCCAAGACAATGGTGAGAAGTTGGTTCTTACTCTGTCACCTCTAGACTGAGGTGATAGGACGTGGTTGGAACAGGTTCTGAAGTGCGGTCCTGTGATACAGACTTTGATGAGGACTAAGTGAGGTCATGTATAAGGCAGAATTTATAAACATCAAAGGACTCTGTGTGTTATTTACCTGCTTATTTATAATTGTTTATAAGTAACTTAAAACCAGAAGTTGAAATGTAGCTTTCTTGAGAATGATTTCTAATTTTAATATAGTAATACTTTCTTTACATGGTCAGGATATGAACTGTTCCTTGTAAGTGAATTTTCCATATAACTGTAGTTCATCTCATCATCAAAATAAAAAAAACATACTTTTACTGGATTAGATATCTTAAAATATATGTACATGTGTATTTTTTAAAGAATACTGATCTTACATTAACCTTTCCCTTATTATTCCAGATCATTATAAGCATCATTGATTATGTTTTGCTATAATATAGTAATACCCTCAGAAACCTATTAAGATTTTTTATGTTGCTTGACTGTAAACAAAGATGAAGTAATCCATTACACTTACTTATGCATTCATCTGTTGCTTCTTGTATGTGCTTTGGCCAGGGATCAAATCCTGATATAACCAAAGGGTACAACCTTGGTGTATCAAAACGAAACTCTAACCAACTGAGCTGTCAGGACTGGGCAAAGATGAAATAATCTGGATTGCTATAGTTTGAGTTCTTCTGATTATAGTTCATAGTTTTTCTGCCCTTTTCATCTCTATGACCTATTAGTTAATAATTTAAAGCTTAAGTTAATTCTTATTATAAAAGATTCAAATAGTATAAATAAGTATGAAAGGCTTATTATTTTTTTTGGTTTTAAATATCCTCTATTTTAATCCCACATCTTTCAGAGTATGGATCAGTTTCATTTGTAGTAATCTAGTTCTGGGAATCCACACACACATAGCCATATACATATTATATTAGTCTGCTCTGGCTGCCATAACAAAATACCACAAACTGGTGCATTAAGCAACAACAATTTATTCTAACCTCACAGTTCTGGAGGTTTAAAGTTCTAGATCAAGGTGCTGGCCAACTTGGTTCTTGCTTAGACTTCCCTCCTGGCTTGTAGATGGCTATCTTCTTGTGTACTCACATGACTTTGTGTGTGTTTGGAGAAAAGAGAGCGGGAGCTTGAGCAGACTGTCTGGTATCTCTTTTTTATAAGGACACTAATTCCATTATGAAGCCCCCACTCTCATGGTGTCATCTGACCCTAATTATCTTCCAATGCCCCATATCTAAAAATACCATCACACTGCTGTGACCCATGTGGCTCAATGCTACAATGGTTGTAGCATTGTCCCATGACCAAAAAGATTGCAGGTTTGATTCCCAGTATGGGTGCATATGATCCCTGGTTTGGGTGCATACAGGAGGCAACCAGTCGGTGCTTTTCTCTTGCATTGATGTTTCTCTCTCTCCCTGTCTCTCTAAAAGCAATAAAAAAGAATGTCCTCTGGTAGGATGAAAAAAAGTAATACCATCATGTTGGTAATTAGAGCTTCAGTATAAAAATTTAAAGGGGATAACATTCAGTCCATAGCACATATACACATATATTTATTTTAATATAAATGGAATCATGCTATACGTATTCTGTAACGTGCTTTTTAATTTACAAACGTGCCTTAAAAGAACCTTATAAGTGTGCATCTCATTTAGAAGGGACTACATCTTATTCTGTCTTTTATAAATATATTAAAATTTATTCAGCCATTCCCTTGTTGATGGACATTTAAATGTTTTCTTTGGTTTAAAAACAATGTTGCAACAAACACGTTCATACCAAATTTTGTGTACATTCTAAAGTATTTTGGTAAGACAGATTTTTAGATGGTAAGAGAATATTCTAATTGATGTTTGAGAGACAATTCCACACTGATCTATGAAAAAATTTGTGCGAATTTTGTCAAATCAACAGTGTACGTGTGTTTTTATTTTGCACTATTGAGAACATTGAATATTATCACTCTTTTCTATAGTTTTCAATTTTAGTAGGTGAAAAATAACTTACTGTATATTTAATCTGCAGTTATTTAATTGTGGGTCAGGTTGTAAATACTTCCATTATTAATTATTTGAGTTTTTCTTGATGAACTTCCAATTGTGTTCTTTGTATATTTTCATATTAGTTTGTCTTTTTTCTAGGATTTTTTCTGCATTAAGAGAGCTTAGCTTATAATTTGCATTGCAAATATTTCACAGTATGACTTTTGCTTTTGACTTTACTATCTATTAAATAATTAAAAATTTTAAGATGTGGATTATTCACATACTTTTATAATTTTGGGTTTCATGTATTGCTTTAAAGTGCTGAAGATAAAAATTTTACTGTACTTTGATAGTTTATGTGTTTTGTGGTAGAAATATTTCTATTCAGGACCAAATGCATTTTATACAACTATAAATTATCTGGCTTATGAGTGCATATTAATTTTGTATATTTAATTATCTTCAAATCTGTGTAGAAAATACCTCTAAAGCATTATTACAATATGTGCAGTAGCTTACCATCAATTTACATTATTATGCAACTGAGACTCACTTTCTTTAATTTAAAATAAGGATAATGGGATCTGTGTCATAGGTTATTATGATACATCATATGCAAATAATACTAAAAACCATTTTACTCAATCCTTACTAAGTACCAGTCATCATATATGCATTAGTTCATTTGATCCTCAGAACAATGCTTTCCTGCAGGTACTACTGTATCCAAATTGCAAATGAGAAAATGAACTAAGTCACTTGCCCAGGATTTCAGATAAAAAGTGGCAAAACCAGAGTGTAAATATGCACCTGGAAATAAAAATAATGATCTTTTCACTATACGCTCTTCCTGGTACATAACAGGAATTTGATTTAGTCTTTTCTTCTTTCTTTATTTGTTTTCTGTGTCTCTTTTTTGTATTTGATGAATAGGACTCTTTAGAAAAGCACTGCCCAAGAGTACTTACTGTTATTATTAAAATTTTCTGGTCTGTACCATCCAATAAATTAGCCACTAGCCGTGAAACTAAAATTTTACTTTAAATTAAATTACATGTGGCTACTGTTTTTGGCATCACAACCTTAGATGTATGAGTGTTTGTGTGTGTGTAAAGTGAATGCAGTTTTGTATGGATTGATAATGAGGAAACTGTCCATTCTAGGTTGAAAACTTTAGCAGAGGAACTTATGCAGACACAGCAAATGCTTTTGAACAAGGAGGAAGCTGTCCTGGAGCTAGAGAAAAGAATTGAAGAATCTTCTAAAACCTGTGAAAAGAAGTCTGAGTGAGTAAAACAAAAATAATTTAAAGGCAGAAAGTTGAATTCATGGAATTTTAAAGAAATACTTTAGTTATGTGTATTATGGATGTAAAATTTCTAAAAGCTGAAATTTCATTTTAAGCATAAAACTTAGATACTTTCCAGGACTGTAGAAAAATAATTATATTTTTGTCTATATAATGTACTGATTATATGTCTTAATATTTTACATTTAAGCTATTTTCCAAAAAAATCCTGTTAAAAGCTGTCTTCTTCTCATCAGTGTCCACCAGATTCACTATGAATTCCTTGTTAAGGATGTGGCAGGCCAGTATTATGTAGAAATTGGCTTCTACTGTGTGAGAAGGAAGCAAAAAAATTATTAGAAAATAGCAGTCTGTTTCACCTATAAAAATCGTATTTAGGATATAATCCTAACCCCAGAATTGCTGGGTCAAAAGGCAGGTCCATTTTTAGTTTTCTTAGAAAATTCCATACTGTTTTCCACAGTGGTTGTACCAGTCTGCAGTCCCACCAGCAATGGATTAGGGTCCCCTCTTCTGCACACCTCTCCAACACTTGCTGTTTGTTACTTTGTTTCTGATAGCCATTCTGACCGGTGTAAAGTGGTATCTCATTGTGGTTTTAATTTGCATCTCTCTGATAGCTAGCGATATTGAGCATCTTTTCATGTGTCTCTGGATCCTCTGTATGTCCTCCTTGGAGAAGTGTGTGTTTCAAGTCCTTTGCCCATTTTTTAATTGGGTTGCTTGTCTTCTTAGAGTGGAGTCATGTAAGTTCTTTGTATATTTTGGAGATTAAACCTTTGTCTGAGGTATCATTGGCAAATATGTTTTCCCAGACAGTTGGTTCTCTTTTTGTCTTAATACTGTTTTCTTTAGCTGTGCAGAAGCTTTTAATTTTGATGAGATCCCATTTTATTCTTTCCATTATGTCCCTTGATCTAGGGGACATATCAGTAAAAATGTTGCTGCGTGAAATAGCCTCTAGGACTTTAATGGTATCATGGCTTATATTTAAGTCTTTTATCCATCTTGAGTTTATTTTGGTGTATGGTGTAAGTTGGTGCTCGAGTTTCATTTTTTTTGCACATAGCTGTCCAGTTCTCCCAACACCATTTGTTGAAGAGTCTATCTTTAGTCCATTTTATGTTGCTGCCCCCTTTGTCGAATATTAATTGACCGTAGAGACTTAGGTTTATTTTTGGGCTCTCTGTTCTGTTCCATTGGTCTGTGTGCCTGTTTTTGTGCAAGTACCAGGCTGTTTTAATTACAGTGGCCTTGTAATACAGTGTGGTATCAATTATTATATTCCACTGCTAGGATTATATCCTAATAATGCTGAAACACCAATCCAAAAGAACCTATGCACACCAATGTTCATAGCAGCACAATTTACAATAGCCAAGACTTGGAAGCAACCTAGGTGCCTGTCAGTAAATGAATGGATCAAAAAATTATAGTACATATACATAATGGAATTCTGTGCTGCAGAAAGAAAGAAGGAGCTCCTACCCTTTGCAACAGCATGGATGGAAATGGAAAACATTATGCTGAGTGAAATAAGCTAGGCGTTGAAAGAAAAATACCATATGATCTCACCTTTAACAGGAAGCTAAACAACAAAACAAACAAGCAAGCAAAATATAATCAAAGACACTGAAATAGAGAACAGGGGGACAGTGACCAGAGGGGAGAGGGGAGGGAATTTCAGGGGAAAAAGGGGAAGGATTTACAGGAACTAGTATAAAGGACACATGGACAACAACTAAGGGGGATGGAAATGGGAGGGAGGTGGGGAGCACCTGGGGGGTGGGGTGGGATGGGAGTAAAAGGCAGAAAACTACTTGAACAACAATTAAATAAAAATTAAAAAAATTGTATTTAGATTTGCTATGCTGTTTTTGTCTCACTGTTGTTTTTCTTGCTGATTCCTGGATCTTTAAATATTTTCCTGAAATTTCTGACTTTACTTGTCTTGGTATACCTTTGCTTTTACAAATTATATTAATTATGTTTTCTACTTTTTCAAGAAGTAAATTTTGATAAAATATAACTTCTAATTTTACTTTGGTTATAGTTTGCATCTCCAACAGGGATTATTGGTATGGTTTCTTTAATGTGACTGGACACTTACCTTTTTTCTATCATACTCTCACATACTCAAGTTTTGTGTAGGTATCTTTCTCTGGTCTATACTTGCTCTTACTTTATTTTATTAGTATTATTTTTGTATCCAAACATTTCTTTTTTTTATTATTGTTGAAGCACAGTTGTCTCCACTTTCCCATCACCACCCTCCTCCCACCCTCATGAACATTTCTTTTTACCTTTAATTTCATTTATCCTCCACTTAGAATTTCAGCATGCAACTATGTTTATTTTTTGCTCATTGATCAAATTATGTGACCTTTTTCACTAATGAATCTTTCATGTGATTTCCCATTGTTGTTATTATGTCTTTGATTGCAGGTATGTTGCACTTTTCTCTCTTATATTTATATATAGGCTTTAACCCCATGTAGTTCTTTGAAATAGTACCAAGTAGTGTATGTACAATGACAATCCCAATAAACAGAATGTCCAATGGAATTGAAAAGTCACCAAGGGAGTTCTAGAACCCTTCTCCATTAGCTCCCAAACAACGCCTCGCTCTAGCCATAAGCACAAGGCAGAATCAGGAAATCTGGGAGAATGTACCACTGCTCTGGGCTGTTGGTTTCATTCTTAAATGGTATTTCCAATGGGTACAGAATTCTGGTTGGACAGTTGTTTTTTTTCCCGTATTTTCAAAAGTTTATTCCATTCTTTTCTGTCTTTTATGGCTTCTGATGAGAGGAGGCTGTTAATCAGCATTGTTCCTCTACATGCAATATATCAGTTTTCAAGATTTATGCATCTTTGGCTTTGAAAAATTTACCTTCATGTGCCTTGGCCTTGGATTCTCTTGTTTGTTATAGCTGTTGTGTGTATAGTAGCTTATATCTAAACATTTCTTTCATCAAATTTAGAAAACATTCAGCTATTATTTCTTCAAATATTTTTCTGCCCCATTTCTGTCTCTTCTGCTTCTGACATTCTTATTATGAGTATGTTTGACTATTTTATACAATCTAACAAGAAGTCTATTTTTCAAATCTCTTTTTCCTGTTCTTCACCTTTGACAATGTCTAATGCTCTATCTTTGAGTTCACTTACTCTTTCTTCAGTTATAGCCATCTAACTACTTTTTCTAGTGATTTTTTTAAACACAATTCTAATGATCAGTTCTGTAACATCAATTTGTTTCTAATTTTATTGTTTTTATTTCTCTGCCAAATTTTCTGTTTTGTTGCTGAGATTCTCATTCACTAGAAATATGTTCCCTTTTACTTCACTGACTATTGTTATGATAGCTGCTTTACTATCTTTTTTTGTTAGATGCAGTAACTAGTTCATCTCCAGATTGGACACATTCATTTTCATTTTTTTTTTTAAATTTATTTATCTTTAGAGGGGAAGGGGGGGAAGGAGTGAGGGAGAGGAACATCAATGTATGGTTGCCTTTCTTGCGTCCCCTGCTGGGAACTGGCCTGCAGGGAACTGGCCTGCAACCCAGGCATGTTCCCTGACTGGGAATCGAACCTCGATCATGTGGTTCGCAGGCCCCCGCTCAATCCACTGAGCTATACCAGCCAGGGCCAATTCATTTTCTTTTGTCTTAAGAATGTGTTCCCTCTTCTTTGATCTTGGTATGTTGAATAATTTTGGGATGTGTCTTAGACATTATGGATGCTAACAGATCCTAACTACTGTTATTTTTCTCCAATTATGTTGTTTTTTGTTTGTTTGTTTTAGCAGGTGATTTTCTTGGCTGGTCTTATTTTTTTCCTTTTTTTTGATTTATTTAATTATTCAAATTGTTCAAGTACAGTTTTCTCTTATACTCCCAATCTTGCCCATCCCCCCCAGTGCTCCCCACCTCCCTTCCATCCCCCCCTCACCGCCTTAGTTTTTGTCCATGTGTCCTTTATACTTGTTCTTGTGAATCCTTTCCCTTGAAACCTGTGATTCTCTCCCCTCTCCCCTCTGGACCCTGTCAGCTTGTTCTGTATTTCAGTGTCTTTGGTCATATTTTGCTTGCTTGTTTGTTTAGCTTCCTGTTAAAGGCGAGATCACATGGTATTTGTCTTTCACCGCCTGGCTTATTTCACTCAGCATAATGCTTTCCAGTTCCATCCATGCTGTTGCAATGGGTAGGAGCTCCTTCTTTCTTTCTGCTGCATAGAATTCCATTGTGTAAATGTACCATAATTTTTGGATCCATTCATTTGCTGATAGGCATCTAGGCTGCTTCCAGCTCTTGGCTATTGTAAATTGTGCTGCTATGAACATTGTGGTGCATAGGTTCTTTGAAATGGATGTTTTAGGATTCTTAGGATATAATCCTAGCAGTAGAATTGCTGGGTCAAAAGGCAGGTGGATTTTTATTTTTCTGAGAAAATTCCATACTGTTTTCCATAATGGTTGTACCAGTCTGCAATCCCACCAACAGGGAACTAGGGTCCCCTTTTACCCACAACCTCTCCAATATTTGTTGTTTGTTGCTTTGTTTATGATAGCCATCCTGACCAGTGTAAAGTGGTATCTTATTGTGGTTTTAATTTGCATCTCTCTGGTAGCTAGATATATTGTGCATCTTTTCATGTGTCCCTGGATCCTCTGTATGTCCTCCTTGAAGAAGTGTATGTTCAAGTCCTTTGCCCATTTTTTAATTGGGTTGCTTGTCTGCTTAGAGTGGAGTCATGTAAGTTCTTTATATATTTTGGAGATTAAACCTTTGTCTGAGGTATCATTGGCAAATATGTTTTCCCAAACAGTTGGTTCTCTTTTTATCTTAATACTGTTTTCTTTAGCTGTTCAGAAAAGCTTTTAATTTTGATGAGATCCCATTTTATTCTTTCCATTATGTCCCTTGATCTAGGGGGACATATCAGTAAAAATGTTGCTGCGTGAAATAGCTGA